GGGTGGGGGATGTCCATTCGGCTGCACTCCCACGTTCCGCAGGCGCTCTCGTACTTTTCGACCTTTTGGGGTAGGGGGCGAACACGCAGGGGCGAGGACGGATCTAAGAGCCCAAGGTGGCTCACTTTTTCCGACGCGAATTGAGACCATCCAGGACTACATTTCCCAGGATGCATCGCGGCGCCCCGCGCGCGCTCGCGAGCGCCGGCCTCCTTGGCACGCACGTCCCTCGCAAGGGGAGGTGCGCATGCGTACCGGAGTAATTCGCAGGGGTGGGGTTGCGGCGGGAGCCAGGGCTCGTCTGCGTGGGCGACCGGCAGGCGCCGGGTGGCTAGTGACGTCGACCGGCAGGGGCCGGCTGGCTAGTTACGTCACGCAGGCCCGCCTACTGCTGGGTAGTGCCTGTGGCTGTTTTCACCTAGGTGTTCTGCTGTCTCCTACCTCAGGATGCTCCTCGTCTGGGTGTGCTAGGTCGGACCGGGCCGGCCTCACGCCGAGTCCGTGGGGCTCCTCTGTGGTTCTGATCGAGGACGAGGACCATGCGCCCGGCCGAGAGACGTGGGCTGAATCTGCGGTCCTGAGTAAGACAAAGTCAGGGCTCCCCAGGCCTTTCTGCCTGGGAAGCAGGTGCTTGTGGCTTTGCATAGTGTCTTCCTAGCATGTGCTCAATGACCATATCATTTCTTAGGGTAGAAAATTTACAAATTGCAAGGGCCCGCGTTCCTGGCTTTCAAAATATAGCATGGTTGCATGCCACATTCATTTATGAAGTGGGTTTATTTTTAATAACTTTGATGGCAGAGTGGGCAGGATAATATCTATTCCTTGCTCTAATCTAAAGCTATTTATTAGGAAAAACCAAATCAAACCAAAGCCTTTGTTGCCCTGAGTGGTTCTGCCCGCCTGGAACCTAAGACTTCCTGGAGGCTGAAGGAGGACCAGTTCAAGACCAGCTTATCCTTTGCAAGACCCTGTTTTAAAGAGCACAACAAAAAGCCAACCTTTTTGCTCCTCATTTATTTACATGGTATTTTTCTCAAAACTGCCCTTGCCATTCATATTTTCAGTTAAGATTCAGCAGGGCTGGATATGGTGTTTTATTGTTTTTATTTTTGAATTGTTCTTGCTCTGTAGCCCAGACTGGTTTTGAATTCCTGACTCCTCAGCCTCTAAGTATGGTCTTAAAAAAAACTTGGAATCTCTAGTTCCTGGCTCTTTTATTTTCAACTTTAAAAAATCAAAATAGCCGGGTGTGGTGGTACACTCCTGAGCACTTGGGAGGTGGAGGCTGATGGATCTCTGTGAATTCAATAGCAAGTTCCAGGCTAGTTGGGGCTACAGGGATACCCTGTCTCAAAAAGACAAAAGAAAGAAAATCAAAATAATTGGAGGGGTGTATGGGCTGTGTTTTATTTTGAGACAGGGTCTCCCTGTTGCCCCAGCTGACCTGGGTGGGACTCCTATGCAGCTCACCCTGTCCTGGATCTCACAGAGATGTGCCTGTCTCTGCCTCCCAAGTGCTGGGATTAAAGGTGTGTGCCATCTGCTGGATTTACAAGTTTAATTTTTTGTAGTTTTATCTTCCCGTGAAGTCTAGGTTTGTTAAATTAATTGCAGTTAAATATGTCATCTAATATGGCAAAGGTTAACATCCAAATTACATGTATAGTTCCTAACCAAAGAATATTAGGAATGTGAAAAATATCAATTAAAAATACTATTTTTATTTCATGTGTATGCATGTATTGCATGTAGATAAGTGCATCCATGCCGTGCAGTGCCCTCAGAGGACAGAAAAGACTGTCGGATCCCCTGGAACTGAAGTTATGGATAGTTGTTAGTTGCCATGTGGGTGCTGGAATTCGAACCCAGGTCTTCTGCCAGAACAGCCAGTGTTCTTAATCTCTGGGCCATCTCTGAAAAATATCAGAGTGTTCTTAACCACTGGGCTGCCCATGAAAAATATCAATTTTAACTATATATTAATAGTAGAAGGAGGTTATTAAAAGAAAAGATGGGCTGGTGAGATGGCTCAGTGGGTTGAATACCAAGCTTGATGACCTGAGTTTGATTTCTGGGACCCACATAGGAAGAGAGACCTGACTCCTGCAAGTTGTCCTCTGACCTCCACATAGGTGTGGAAGTCCCTCCCCCACATTAAATAAATAAGTTTTTTTTAAAATGGGTCTTTATGGAGCAGTTAAGAGTGTTTGCTGCTTTTGCAGAGGACTAGAGTTCATTTCCTAGCACCCATGTTGGATAGTTGACAACCACCTATAACTCCAGTTTCAGGACACACACACACACACACACACACACCAAATCTTGTCTTTTTGGTGTGAATCTGAGCCTGTAATAGCTAAGTGATCTCTCTGGCCCCCCTCCCCTTTTTTTGGACGCAGGGTCTCACTATACAGCCCTGGCTGAGTGGGAACTTGTTATGTAGACCAGGCTGATCTCAAAATCACAGAATTCTGCCTCTGCCTCTGGAGTTCTGGGATTAAAGGCATGTGCCACCATGCCCAGCCCTGATAAATTTAAAAAAAGAAGAAAAGACAGAACAGGGACGACAAGATGTCACTTAGAATGCTAACAAATGTTAGATTAGTTAACAGTTACCTCTATAACACACCTTAACCTTTTCTTTCTCTGTTTGTGTGCATACACAGACACACAAACTTGTGTGGATACCTGAGGATAACCGCTGATGTTTTGCCTTAGGTGCTGTTCATTTTTTTTTTTTTTTTTTGAGACAGAATCATTGCCCTGGAACTCAGCGAAATAGGCTGGATTGACTGGCTGGTGAGCTCCAGAGATCTGCCTGCCTCTGCCTTTCCTCCCTTGCATGTAGGCCACCATGTCCCAATTTGTTTGTTTATACATGAGGGTTCTGGGGAATGGAACTGTAGTCCTCATGCCCTAGTACCTTCCCCACTGAGCCGTGTCTACAGTCCTCTAACCCCCTTTAAAACATCTAAGTGCTACTTTGTTCTCCGAGAGAACTGCTCTTCTTCATTTCATTTAGTTGTCCATGTTGCAAAGCTTCCTGGATGGTGACTTGTACATACCGCTGCCTCTTTTTCCTTCTCTCAGCACTTATTTGTTGAACTCTGAATTTTTTTCAGGCACAAGGTCAGGGATTTCAGGTACACATCCTAAGTTAATGAGGCGATCTGCTTATCAATATTGTATTTGAACATCGCCTCACTTTGCTTAGGGCAGTGCTTAAATAGATGTGGGCTTATCTCTGGAAAAGAGATTACAAAATTATCCTTATTAGTTTATTAAGTAAGTCCCCAACTTAGTGAAATTACTAAAATGGAAATATGTTAGCGATTGTCTTACTGTCTACAGTGTCAACTTAGCCATTGTAAAAGCATTTTGTAGAAACAAAGGTCTATTCACTGTAGGAAATATGTGAACTGCATGGAAAACAAACTTCCCAAGACTTTAATAAAAGATGTGAAATAAGAGTAAAGGCTAAAGAAGAATGGAAATGATTCTACTTTTAGATTAAATGTACTTGAAAAAAATCTTCGCTGGGAGCTTTTATTGGTGTATTTTAAGGACTCACATGTACCTTCTTTTATCTCTTTCAGTGTTGTGAAAGTAGCTCATTCCTTTTCTTCACAGTTTGTGCAGAAAAGCATTTGTTAAAGGTGAACAATTCCTGAAATGTTGGATCTCCTCAGTTTTCATGAAGTGATAATTCAAGCACCAAAGTCTTGTAATAGCAAACAGTTTAAATAACAGTTGAGGTTTTGTTTTAAAAGCATTTTAAGGGAAAATAATTTTCACATTGTTAACATTTCCCTTGTGTCTATAGTGACTTGCTCTCTCACCTGCAATGGTCTGTGTATCAGGTCTTCTATTAGCCTAGGCTGCTCAGTCTTTCAGCTGTGGATATGGTCCAGCAGGCTCCCTTTGTCTGTACTGTGTGCATATCGCTTTGATTTGGAATCAACAACCAAGAACATCATTTTTGCTTCTCACCTTTCTGTTGCTTGATTTTAACCTTTTGTGTTCCACATTTTATAAAAACTGAACTCACAGTTAAAGGAATTTTACAGTATTTTATAGACCCCATTCATCTAGACCCTACCCTTATTTTTTGTAGACAGCGTCTTGTTATATAAACTAGACTGGCCTGGAATTCCAGTTCCTCCTGCCTAATCCCTAATATTGGATTACAGGCATGAATAACCCATACTAGCCCTACCATATTTAATTTTAATACATATTTGGCTTGTTTCGTGTTTTTGACATTTCAGTCTACATTGTAGACAGTATACTGTCCCCCAGAACTTGAGTGTGCACATGTAGTAACTAGATTTTAGTATTTGTTTACTTTTTTCTTTTGATGTAAAATTTACAAGAAATGATATGTTGTGCCAGCAAGATGGCTCAGCAGGTAAAGGAACTTAACCACCAAGCCTGACAATCTGAGTTCAGCCTCTGAGTCCTACCTGGTAGGAGGAGTGAATCAACTCTTGGAAAGTTATCTGACACCCACATGTGTGCTGTGGAACATGTACACAGACACACATGTGCATAGACATGGATGTTACACTAAAAAAAGGACATGTCCAAATCTTAAATGTTTTTTTTGCTGTTTTGACAGGTGCACAATCCTTGTTTTTAAGTTTATCTTGGTCATCTTTGCTGACTCCAGAGTTTTAATTTTGTGACTGCTTTTGGCTTTGTGGCTTCTTTATACTGGTCATTCTTTTCACTTTGCACATGCCCAATACTGATGAAGAGAACCAGCTTTCTTTTATGAAGAGACATATACTCATGTGTCACTTAAAATGCTGTTTTGTCTAATCCTTACTCATCAGTGGGAACTTGCTCACAGATACTGGGTCTTTAAAGTGGATTCAAGGGCCAACACTCTAGGAAGCAGAAGGGTAGCATAGTGGGTAAAGTACTGACAAATGCCAGAGTGAATGAGCATGGAGGGGAACATAGTGCTGGCCTCCTTCTAGAATGTAGAATGAGACTTTGCCAACTCTCACAGTCTCATCAGGGAGTAAGGGAGACAGACAAATCAGTACTGGTGATATAGGCTGAGTGTTGAAGCATGGTCAAAGTATTCCATGATAACTGGTGAGGAGACAGGGCACAGGCTTAGACTGCAGTTAGCATTTAAGTGAGTTTAGGACCCAAAAAGAGAGTTGGGAAGCTTGTTTACCAAGTGATTTTATGGAACTATGCCATGCATTCATTTTACTTCAGACTTTAATAGCCTTCTTGATTTTTGACGTTTTTTCAGCCCATCTCTTCCTTTCTAGTCGGCAAAGTAATGGCCTCTCAGAGATGTCCCCAGGACCTGCGAGTATTTATATGAAAAAAAAGGAATTTGCAGATCTAATTCAAGAGGACTTTGAGATGGGAAAGGTTACCATGTATTATTGGGAAGGGACTAGTATAATTAGAGGTATTTAAAACAGAACAGGGAAGCAGATGATGAGCGTTAATGATGGAAAACTGTGCCGTGATGTGGTGGTGTAGGAGGCTCACTACCAAGGAACATGGCACCTCTAGAAGCTGAAAAGGACACAATACGGTCTTTTGTTTGGGGCTCCAGAGGAACTAACCCTGCTCACATCTCATTTTAGCTCTATGAGACTTGGGTCAGAATCATTGAATGGTAAATCTGTGTTATTGTAAGCCATGCAGTGCTATGATTGTTATATCAGAAAACTGGGGCAGTCCTAATACTTTTAAATTCATAGTGTAAAAATGGGCTTTCCTGTCTCACTTTGACACAGAAGAAAAATAGAGTAATTATAAATTAAATACTTGTTTTTAAAATTTTTAAAAAACTTTATTATTTTTAGTTTATGTATATGCATGTATTGCTTGCATGTAGGTAAGTGCACCTGTGTCGTGCAATGCCTGCAGACATCAGAAGAGGCTGTTGGATCCCCTGGGACTGGAGTTAAGGACAGTTGTTAGCTGCCATGTGGGTGCTGGGATTTGAACCCGGGTCTTCTGAAAAAATAACCAGTGTTCTTAACCACTGAGCCATCTCTCCAGCCACAAATTAAATACATTTAAAGAAAGATTTATTTATTTTAATTTTATGTGTATGTGTCAGTTCCTGCATGTATGTATGTATACCTGGTGTGTAGTTGATTCCTGTAGAGACCAGAAGAGGGCACCAGATCCCTTGGAACTGGAGTTACAGGTGATTATGAACTGCCCAGTGTAGGTGCTGGAACTGCACCCAGGTCTTCTGCAAGAACAGTAAGTGCTCTTAACCACCGAGCCATCTCTTTAGCCCCCAAACAAAATACTTTTGTGGTGGCCACTTCTGGTGGAAAATGCAGGCTTTATTGTATTATTCGTTGAGCCAAATTTGTCTCCTGGTAGATTTTAGTTTATTTCTGGAGGTGGGAACAACCCCTGTCATGTTGCAGATTTAAGGCCTTGGTGTGGAGTGGTCTGATTATTCTTTTCTCCTATCAGTCTTTTTCCTGTATTGTTTGTTTTCCCAGCATGTAAAAAGTTCCTACCAGGTCACTCTTGTTAGCTATTTAAATGTCCTTTGTTCTTGGTTTATTCATTATAGACTTGCTATTTACCTTCCATAGGTATGCCTCATCTTACTGAGAAGATTGCTGGACTCTAGACTACTAGGACTGCCTCTCATCTTCCTACACAACAAAGTCCAAATAGGAAGATGGGCTTTGAGCTCTCCATTGTGACTCAGGCAAAGGGCACTGCTCTCTGGAGGTCAAGATCCATTGTACAGTACGGCCGAAGAGGACATGACCCAGCAGAGGGTTTGGAACCCTTCCTCTGTGGGATTGCAGTTTTGTAGGACTTTGATAGATGAGCTAAACCTGCCTCAAGCTTGTGTTCTCGTTCTGGGCCTCTTCATCACATCACTGCTGGTGCCATTCACTCCTGTGTGTCTGAGGCTTCTCATCACCCGAACAGCATTACTTCTGTTTCCTCCTTCCTGGCACCTTTACATTTTCATTCTCACTATGCCTGTTCTTCAAGATTCCGCTCAATCTCTTAACTCCTGTACGCACTCATGTTTGTGCCAAAATGAAGTACTGTTACGGACCAGTTGAGACTCACTGTGGGACTCTCGTCTCCCTTGCTGTGAAGCCCCTGAACAGCAAATTACAGTTCACTATCATGTCTCTTTCCTCTGCGAGTGCTGCCAGAGAAAACCATAGCCAGGAAGATGAGTTATGAGCATACCCCGTCCTCTCTGCTTTTCTTTTGCTAGTGCTTCTGTTAGTCTGGCACTGTGTGGCTCAGGCTTTTTACTCACTATCCTCAGTTCATGACTATTGTTGTCCCTCTCATGGATAGCATGCAGCTTTGCTTTCTGCTTTAGTAATATTTTTATTTATCTGAGAACATCCCACTATGCCTTTTTCTACAAGTACTCTTCCTGTACGAGCCTTGTTTTGTCTGCACTTGGGGCCGCCTGTTTTTCTTCCCCTTCGCTACCCTGTAACAACTCCCTTGTCTGTTGCTTTCTCCTCCTTTGCCTACAGGTGCATGGAAGTCTGCCGCTTACCGCTCCTCCCAGTTCTGCACTTGTTCTTCTTTTGCCATCTTCAGACTTTTCATGCATATTGTGGAATTAGTCTGCTGTTCCCTCCATTGTCTCCAAATCATTAGTGAGCTGTTACTTAACTAATCTATTTTAACCCTTAATTTATCTAATTCTGTTCTGATCTTGACCTCGAAATTTGCTGTCTTCCCATTGTCTGATGGCTCTTCCCTTCCTTTGTTTTTCTTTCTCCTCCATTTGCTTCCTGCATAATGATTTTCCTCACAATCTTACCTGAACATAACAGTTATTTTATTTTTCAAGTTCACTTTAGCTTTATGCCGTGATTTATATCTGAAAGTGCCATTACCGAGCTTCATTGACTCTTACTCCTTCTTAGTAGGCTTTATGAGGGATGTCTTCGCCTGTGGGTGGGAATGTCTGGCTCCTCTTCAGTTCTTCTCTCCATTTATTTTCTTCACTCCTGACTTACAGCTGGAGCACAGAGTTACTCTCAAGTTTGTCACAAAGATTCTTCCTACCCCTGGCCCACAAAAGGTGGTCCTACTGCCAGTCATCTTCTGTGCTTAGATTCATGGACAAGAGAAACATGGAAGCAGATGACACATTGATAGCGACTGCAAGTGACCCTCATAAATGTACCTTCTTTGTAGCCCATGCCCTAGATTACAGTCAGTCCTGTCATCCTCCTAGTACCTACTTCTCTAGTGTATCCTTCGCCACTTAATCATGCAGAAGTTGCCAGGCCTTCCTCACAATTGTCCATCAGTATCCGGGATATGCATTTCCCAGAACTCCCTGCTCTGCTGCTGTCAGTCCTACCTCAGGCTCCATCTTCTGGTTGGTTATATTAGCTTTTCCCTGGTGGCTTGTGCTGCCCTTATATTTTCCAGTAGTCCATTACTCAAGCGCTTACAAGACAGACCTGAAGTTGCTTCCTGGCTTAAAGCATGTAGAGGAATCCCCACTTCTGAGAATGGCTTCTTAGGCTTGGTGCCTTAGGCTTGGGTATGCACATCTGTCTCCACCCTTGCTTCCTGCTTCTCTCTGCCCACTCAATACACAGAGCTGCACTGAGCTCTTTCCATTTACACTTCATCATCTAGGCTCTGCCTCTGCTCATGCTGTTTTCAACTCCATTTGCACCACACTATCTGAGACCCAAGCCTATTCTCCTTGAAGCCACCAGGCTACAGGGCTTTTTCTGTGCTTGTGACCCTTGGGTAAACTATCATAGCAGTGGCCATTCTTAGTCCGTTCTTGGTTTTTCTAGCTAGACCTGACCCCTTGAGGGAAGGGACAAATACTTTTTCATTTTTGTTTTTATCCTTGGGGATGGTTCAGAGCCAGGCACAAATTAAGTATTCAGTAATGGCTTATTAAAACGGCAGGGTCAAATCTCTGAACACCAAGATAGTTATCAATGTATCAGATAGTTCCTAAGTAACACCCAAAAGTTAGGCCAGTGCCCCTGTTCTAGGTTAACTTAGTACTACAGAGATGTCAGTTTGGACCAATTGCATAAAGGACCCTTTGTGGGGCTACAGATGTAGCTCAGTTGATGGAGTGCTTGCCTGGCATATATGAAACCCTGGGTTTGATTACCAGCACTGTATAAACCAGGAATGGTGGTGTGTGCCTGTAATCTAAGAACACAGAAGAGGCAGGAGGATTAGAAGTTTAAGTTTATCCTCAGCTACAAGAGTGAGCTTGAGGTCAGCCTGGGCTACATGAGACCCTATCTTCTCTTCTCCTCTTTCCTTCTCCAAAAAAGGCCCACTCAGTGTCTGTGACTAATAATATGAATCTGACCACCACCACCCCCCCAAAAAAATGGAAAGAAAGAAAGTGAAACATATATTAATAGCTTAGATCAGTGTTTCTTTTTTTTTTTTTTCTTCATCTTTTTGAGACAGGGTCTCCCGGTAGCCGCAGCTGTCCTGGAACTCACTATGTAGACCAGGCTGGCCTTGAACTCATAGAGATCCGCCT